TGTCCACACAAACACTCACGGGGACAGATCTCAGGCGACTCCAGGAGAGCCTGCCCGGGCCACCTGTGTAGGCTCTCGGTGTAGTCACCGGCCTACACCCTGGGCCTCAGACTCATCTCTTCTGCTCATCCACCAGGATCCTGACTTAGACTCATGATGATCATGGCATTTTTCATGATATTGTAGGCCTGCAGCCCAAATAAAGTGGTCAGAAGGAGAGTACTTGGAGGCCAGAAACAGGATGAGGAATTTGCCTGGTATAATGAGAAGGATTAATGACTTCAGAAGATGAAGACATTAAGAAAGGGATGGGCTCTTGGAACCAGGGTCCCAAGAGCTGGCTTTGGTGGTACCGACCTGCCCTGGGACGAGCCTCCTCCTCCAGGAAGCTCTCCTGACCCTGGGGTCGCTTGGGGTGCGGGTCCCACCCCGTCCCCAGGGCTGGTTTCACCACACTCTCCTGCGGTCGTCTGTGCTCGTGCTGGCCCCCCAGCCACATGTCTCTGTGCTCCCCGAGGGACGGGCTCACGTCTGGCGCTGGAGAGCCTTGCTCAACAATGGGCACATATCCGGCCATCACGTGTGCTCCGCGAGCTGAGCAGCTGTGGGAGGTCTCTCTCCCGGATGTCCGCACCTTCCAATACAAATCTGGTCTCACAAGGACCTCAGGGGCTCACAGGTTCCCTGGACAACAGACATGAGCGTCCGCGTCAGAGACCAGGTAACCCCACGGCATGACTGGATCGTGTCTGGGGAATACATCAGCTTCCGAGGGCTCTCCCACAGTCGCTGGGGCTGACCAATTCTAGAGCACCGTCAGGACTGTTTCTAGATCTCAGAGCTGAGGTCCAGGCTCTGAACAATGTGAAGGCAGTGCTGCTTTATGAGTTCTTGTCTCGAGTCTAGCCAGGGGCCTCGGGCAAGCAGCACGGCCACAATTTTGTGCGTTACGGTTTAAGGAGGAAAAAATATTTATAAATAAAAAATACATAAACTAAAAAATATATACACTTACATGTATATATGTCAAGTTGATACATGTATACATGCAGCCAACATTAAACGCTGCCAACTCCCAGAAACATTAAATCAAACTTCGTGCTATGAACTATTTACCTCACCTGCCATTACCCGATACAGCACATCTGAATTTCAACACAGATTTACAGGGTATGCTAAAAGGCAAGAACAAAACACAGCCTGAGGAGACAAAGTAAGCAACATTATCAGACTCAGTTATGACACAGACCTTGAGATTACTAGACAGGGAATTTAAAATAACTATAATTACTATGTTAAGAGCTCTAATGGGAGAACAGACAATAGCAAAAACAGATAGCTAATGCAAGCAGAGGGATGGAAACTCCAGGAGGAAAGCAGAAGGAAATGCTAGAAATAACAAACACTGTAGAAATGAGGACTGCCTTTAATAGATCGTCAGTAGACTGGACATTGCCACGGAAAGACTCAGTGAGCTTGAAGACATGTTGATTGAAACTCCCAAAACTAAAATGCAAAGTGAAAAAAAGAGTGAAAAAAATCCAGAACACTATACCCCCAAATTCATAGTACAATTTCAAATGATATAATGCATGTGCAATCACAATACCAGAGAGAAGAAAGAGAATAGAACCAATGGAATATGTGAAGAAACAATGTCTGAGAATTTTTCAAAATTAATGACACCAAACCACAGACACAGGAAGCTCAGACATGACCAAGCAGTATAAATAACCAAAAAGCAAAACAAAATGAACTACTGAGGCATGTCATAGAACTACTGAGGTTTTTTTATAGAAAACCAAAAGACAAAAAAAGTCTTGAAAGAAGCCAGAAAATTTAAAAACAAAAACAAAAACAAAAAAGTTCCATACCATCTGTAAAAACACAAGGATAAGAGTTCTGTGGACTTCCCATCAGAAACCATGGACACAAGAAGAGAGAATATTGATTCATTCATTCATTCATTCATTCATCAGCAGGCTCCACGCCCAGCATGGAGCCCAACGTGGGACTCAAACTCACAACTGTGAGATTGAGACCTGAGCTAAGATCAAGAGTCAGATATTTAACCGACTGAGCCACCCAGGTGCCCCAAGAAGAGAGAATATTTAAAATGTTGGAGGAAAATAAACACCAACCTAAAATCCTATGTCCAGTAAAATTATCCTTCAAGAGTGAAGGAGAGAGCGCCTGGGTGGCTCAGTTGGTTAAGCGACTGCCTTCGGCTCAGGTCGTGATCCTGGAGTCCCAGGATCGAGTCCCGCATCGGGCTCCCTGCTTGGCGGGGGGCCTGCTTCTCCCTCTGACCCTCTTCCCTCTTGTGCTGTCTCTCATTCTCTCTCTCAAATAAATAAATAAAATCTTTAAAAAAAAAATTTAAAAAAAGAGTGAAGGAGAAATAATGACTTTCTGTGAAAAACAAAAATAGAGAGAATTCATCGCCAGCAGAGCTGTCCTGCAAGAAATGTTAAAAGAGGTTTTTCAGGAAGAAGGAAACTATGTGAGTTAGAAACACGGATCCGCATAAAGGAAGAGTGTCAGAAAAAGAATAAATTCAGGTAAAATAAACTTTTTATTTTATTATTCTTAATTGAGCTAATATATTTCTGTGTGTTCCGAGTAATAATGATAACATTATGTGTAGGGTGATGAGGCCCATGACCACGTGGGAGCAGAGCCGCAGGTGACGGAGGGAGGGCGAAGGAAAGACGAGTGACAGGGTCCTTGCACTACTCACAAAGTGGTACAACAGTGCTTGAAAGTGGATTTACATTAGTTGTAAATGTGTATTTCACACTTAGGGCAAACAATAAAGATATATATATTTTTAAAGATTTTATTTATTTTAGAGAGAGAGAGAGGGCGAGCAGGGGGAGGGGCAGACGGAGAGGGAGAATCTCTAGCAGACTCCCCGCTGAGCACGGAGCCTGACGTGGGGCTCGGATTTCATGACCTTGAGATCATGACCTGAGCCGAAATCAAGAGTCGAACGCTCAACCAACTGAGCCACCTAGGTCCCCCAATAAATATATTTTTAAAGAAACCCATAATTGATATGCTAAGATAGGAGAGGATATGAAATCCTATTAAATGTTCAATGAAAACTAGAGAAGGCGGAGAGGGGGAAAAGAAAAGAACAAATACAATGAATAGAAAAGATGCTAAGCATTAATCAAAGTATATCAATAATCACATTAAATGTGAATGGTTTAAACACACCAATTAAAAGGCAGATTGTCAGAGTGGGTAAAAACACTAGACCCAATGACATGTTGTCTACAAGGAACTCACTGTAAATATGACGACACAGTTAGGCCAGGAGCAGAAGGATGGAGAAAAACATACCATGCTAATACTAATCCAAAGAACACTGGAGTGGCTGTATTATTTTCAGACAAAGTAGAATTCAGAGCAAGGAAACTTATCAGGGATAAGGAAGGGCATTACATCACGACAAAGGGGTCAATTCTCCGAGAAGACACAAAAACCCTCAATGTGTATGGACCAAACAACAGAGCATCAAGAGATCGGAGGCAAACAAGGGCAAAACTACTGGAAGGAGAAGGCAAATCCTGTCTCTGTTATAGTTGGAGACTTCAAGGCCCCTCCCTCAGGGACTGATACATTGAACAGGTAAATAATAAGGACACAGTTGTCCTTTTTTTTTTTTTTTAAGATTTTATTTATTTATTTGACAGAGACAGAGACAGCGAGAGCAGGAGCACAAGCAGGGGGAGTGGGAGAGGGAGAAGCAGGCTTCCCGCTGAGCAGGGAGCCCGATGTGGGACTCGATCCCAGGACCCCGGGATCATGACCTGAGCCGAAGGCAGACGCGTAACGACTGAGCCACCCAGGCGCCCAAGGACACAGTTGTCCTTAACAGCATTATCGATCAACCTGATCTTACAGACACTTAACAAATACTCAACAGCAGAATCACAACGTTCTCCAGCAGGCTGGAACATTCCCGGAGGCAGACCACCTTCCGGGCCACCAAGTATACACAGATAGCCCAACTCTGCATATATTCTTTGGCTTAAGAGACAGACTGAGCTATAATTCACACACACAGCCTGTGCTGTCGTCAAGTGCACAGTTGAGTGGTTTTTCAGACTGTGGAGTCTGCAATCTCTACCGCGATCTGATTTCAGAACATCTGTGTCACCTTGAAAAGAAACGCTGTACCCACAGTCATTCCCCGGCAGCCGGAAACCACAAATCTACTTTCTGTAGGGAAGGACTTGCCGTGTCTGGATATTGCACATAAATGGAATCAGATCACATGCTGCCTGTGTGTCTGCCTCCTTTGGCCTAGCATGACGTTTTCCAGGGTCACCAATATGGTGGCATGGATCCCTGACTGGCTGGATAACATTTCGTTGTACGGATACTCCACTTTTCATTTATCCTTCGTCAGCTGATGCACACATTCGGCTGCTTCCACACTCTGGCCACTAACAGGGCTGTGAACGTTCACGTGCATGTTTCTCTGCAGACAAATGCTTTGGGTTCTCCTGAGCGCACCTAGGAGTGGGACTCCTCCGTCATAGGGCAGCTCTACGTCTAACACCGTGAGGACCGTCCATCCGGTTCCTCAACCAGCTGCACCATTTTACATTCCCACCAGCGCCGCTGAGGGTTGCCAGGGTCTCCACATCCTCACCAGCACCCGCGGCTGTCCGTCTGTCTGTCTGAACCATCCCAGTGAGTGTCGGAGGTATCATCTGAAATGCCACCATGATTCCACCCAGGGCTCTGGGTGACAGAACTCAGAAATGGCTGAGGCTCCCACCACCCTTGCAGGATTGCTCTTTGCAGAAACCTTCGCTTCAAGAAGCAGGAGTTTTTCCATTTACAAAGATTATTATGTTCTAGCCACAAAGAAAAATAAGAATATCTAACTGCCTCTTTCCACAGGATTACATCCCTAGCGGGAAAGCAGTGTTAGGTGAGAAGAGCGCCTGACTCCCTTGGGATGAATATGTAGCCTCACTTACCTGCCGGGGGCCACGCCTTGATGTACCCCGTGCAGTGGACCACAGCATACTGGGCCTCCCCTTCTTTCACGGGACCAAGGCCGTTCCTAAAGAAAGAGCGCTCGTGAGACGGCTCTCAGCCCCTGGCGGGAAGGCAAGGTCACCGATGGGTCCTCTCTGATCTAAGCTCCTGGGGTCGCGCCTGCCTTGTGGGTTTGAACGTTGCCGTCCCCCCAGCCTGCTTTCCCTCCTGCGAAGCTGCAACCAGCTCCCCTCCCCGCTCAGCCCTGCAGCCCCAGCCCGGATGTGCGCACCACACGCCCCTCCCTGCACTCGGCCCCTCTTCAGGTCCCGCCACCCCCCCAGCTCAGCGCACTTAGGCTTTCTAGCAGCGTGGCCCTAAACACACATCAGAAAAGCCTACTGACCTGAACCTTTTCCTCATGGTGGTTATTCTGTTTAGAGGGAGGTGATCCAAAGGAGCGTTTCCACACCTGAGATTCGAGAAATCATTACAATGAGTAAAGACCCAAGTTTATGAAGCCCGGAGTGTTGCAGTCAGAAAGGTGGGTCTGATCTGATGCTCACACACCGATCCGGGTGAGCCCAACAGCTGGTTCCCTTCCAAAGTGTCGAAGCGGGCTTGCGCGCCCGGGGACCTGGATCGTCCCTGAAGGCCAGGGCAGTGCGACCCACTGGGCAATGCTCGGGGCCCAGCCCGGAGGCTGGAGACACAGAAGGACTCCAGGGGATCTTGGCCACGCTCCAAGCTGCAGACTCATGTCTGTGGCACTGGGTGGCTTTTGGGAAAGCAGGGAAGTGGGGGATGACCGCGGTAGCGTCTCTTCACGCCTCAGCAGAGACAGCAACTCAAAACACATGGTGCCCGCTGGTGACAAGAAACATCTTCTCGGGCTTGGGCTGCAGTCGTGGGACCCTCCCTCCCACCTGCCCCGTTCTGCTGGAGTAACAGGGCCGCCATGGCCCCTGATGGCAAAGGGCAGAGTGGGGACAGAGGGCAGAGCAGCCTTTCCAAGGGTCCTTCCAGGGAGGCCAGGCCACTCTGGGGGGGCCTTTCCCGCCTCTCTCCTCCATGGCCCCCAGGCTCTGAACAGCCTGGTCTGCACCGTGGCCAGAGCTGGTAGCCACTTGGTCTACCCCGCCTCACGTGGGCTCCCTGTTCCCAACTCCACGACAGCTAACGCTCTGGATGTCTTCCTACCCAGCACGGCCACGGTAAGGGTCCAACTGTCCTCTGAGCCCTGGGGCCGCTGCCGGCACACGCGTGTCCCCCCAGCAGGGCCAATGCAGGACCCCGCCGCCTGGGCGAGCTCGCCTGGCTCTCAGCACCTTCCTAAAACTAACCCACTTTATTTGGAGGGCAAGGTCGTGCGCTCGGCAGACGGCAGTGCCACCCGCCTCACAGGTGAATCCGGGTCGTGTGGCGCCACCTGGATGGTGCCCCCCGGAGCCCCCCAGGGCAGGGAGGGGGCTGCCTGAGTTGTCGTGATGGGGCAGTGCTCACGGCATGGAGGCTACTCACAGACGCTCCCAGGGAGGGCATTCTCGGGGGGACGGCTTGGGGCTGCTGGCATGGGCGTGCCCTGCCGACCCGTGTGTCGTGCCAATGGCCTCCCATCTCATTCAGAGTAAAAGCTGGTGTCTTACGACTATCAGACGTCCCAACCTTACTGACGACCGTTCCCCTCATCACGCCCTGTTCACTCTGCTCCACGAGAGTGGCCTTCTGGTTCCTCGAGCATGACGAGAACATCCCTGCCTCAGGGCCTTTGCACTTGCTGTTCCCTCTACCTGGTGTTTTCTTTCCCCAGACAGGCCCAGGTCTCCACTCAAGATGTCACCGTATCAATGGGAGCTCCCCTCATCTACCTACAAACTAACACATAAACTAGTAACTCCTACTCCTTCCCAGTCCTTCTTCCATTTGTTTCATTTTCCTCAACAGCACTCACCACCATCGGGCATTTCAAGTATCTACGTGGTACTTCCGTCTCCCTGACTGAAGCGATGCTCTAGACGCTCGGGGGTTTTGTTTGCTTTATTCCGTGCTGAGCCCTGGCACCTTGACAACCACCTGGTGCAGGTAGGCCCGCAATATAAATGTGTCGAATAACTGAATGAATGAATGAGAACCATCACCTCGTTTTAGAGCCTCCAGAATCCCACACACCAGGCAGACTCCCTGTCAGGCACCTCCCGCCCACTCCCGACAGGGCCTCGGGGTATAGGACGGTCTCAGCTGGACGTGAAGTCTCAAAACCCCAGTTCTTTCCTCTTCAGGGACAGAAACTTCTCTAATTACCCCCAAGGTCAGTCACTCCTGCATGTCCTCAGCAGCCATGTGCCAGCCACACTCTGCTGCAGGCCACGGGGGCTCAGGGAGGCTAACTCGGGGCACTCGCAGAACCGAGATATTTACACCGAGAACATCAATCCACAGTATCAAACTTAAATTCTAATTAAAATGTACGATTTGGCACAGGAAACCCAAAACTATGAAACCGACCGATCTTACATAAACTATGTTGAGAAATGCAGCTTGAAGAACCGGTAGAAAGTTGAGACCTAGGGGACAGGGGAAGCCAACCCGGGAGTGGGCAGAACGCGGCGGGAAGTCAGGCAAAGTGCGACGGGAGGATGAGGGACGAGGGTCCTCCCAGATGGACCGCGGGGGCTGCAGGCTCGCAGGCCACAGCTGGGACCCCGATGTGGGGCAGCAGCAGAGCCCATGGCAGGACAGAAGGAGTGGACCACCCACAGCCACGGCCCCCCGGCCCCCCACACACCTCATCCTGCAGATGAAGGACCTCCGTGAGCCCATGCACATCCTCATGGAAGACTGCTGCCCCTCTTTCTTGACCGTCCCCGTCTTCAGGTCCAGGATCCGGCCTAAGTGAGAGAGAGACACAGGTGTAAGCCTCTGCCTTCGATGGGGGTGCGGGGTCGGGGCGGGGGGAGAGCTTTCTCCAAACACCCTGCAAATGAGGACAGACAGGGCTGCGCAAATTGTTTCTTGGATCCCCAGCATTCTGTCTGGGAACACGCGCAGCCACAAAATCCATATGGTTCTAAATGCCCCGTCTTCTTCGGAGGGCTGTCTACACCTGCTGTTCCCGCTCCTTCGGATGCCACCGTCTGGAGTGATTCCAAGTTGGTTTCTCCCCATCACTTCATGGAGACAGCATTTGCCAAAGTTGCCAGAAACTTCCTTGTTGCTGATCCCAACACCCACTTTCCTTGGTCTCCGCTCCTCTCCTCCCTCCCCTCACCCCTCAGTGACCTCAGCTGGGCCACTGAGTCTCCTCCCCCTGGGCACCCCGACCAATTTTACCCACTCCAGGGATGGCGGCCTGGATGACGCTGATAATCCCGTGCACACGCCTCTAGCACCACCCCTCCATCCCCCCGGCCCCCGACCATCACCAGCACCTCCCACTCCTCCCCAACGTCAGCAAATGCACCGCCATCCACACACAAGTCAAGCTCGGAAGGCCAGACGCCCTGTGGGAGTCCTCCCCTCTGTCACCCCCTGCACGCCCACCGGTCTGTCCATCTCCTCTGCCTGCCTGCCATCCCTCAATGGAGACTCACGGGCTCCCAGCCTCCAGCCTCCTGCCGGGGCGCCTCGCACATGGCCCCCGGCTGTGCCCACAGCATGCACCTGACTGCCCGCCTATGGGAGCTCCTCACGGGGTGCTTTGGAACTTGGCCCTGTCCCGCCTGGGCCTTGCCCCATGGCCCGCCCTCCGGCATCCTACAGAAGTCTCCCTCTACAACACCAAACGGCCACGGCTCCATCACGCGTGTGACCCGGGCACTCAGCCTTGCTGGCCCATGGTGGCTTTGTTTGTTTTCTCTTTTTCTGCAAAATGGAGGCGTCAGATCTCGTGCTCAGGATTGCGGTGATGGTGTGTGATCTCAAACGATGACGTCACACTCCTTGAAAATCTTCCATGCTCCCCACTACAGATTCTCAATAAACCCCAAGTCCTTCTGCCCACCGTGAGGGGCCCCCCCAGATCTGGCCTCTGGGGCTGCACCTGCCACACCCCGTCTGCCCCTTGCCCCGCTGCTCCAACCCCGCCCAGCTCAGCCAGCTCGCTGTCCCTACCCACCCCCTTGTGCTGCTCTGCCTCCTGAGGCTCTGGGCCTTCCCAGTAGCTCCCCCTTCCCTTCGCCCACCTCCTGCTTATTGTCCCAACTTACCCCTGCATTTATTAAATGCCTACAATCTGCTGGGCGCCCTAGAAGCACAGAGTTAATCAGGCAGAGGACATGAGAGTCTAGCAGGTAAACAGACCGCAAAACCCAAAGAACAGGATGGGGGGGCGGGGGAGGGAAGCGGGGACGCTGTCAGGTGGGGATAAATGCTCTAAACAAAAATAACGCAGAGTAGGAATAAAAACATGACCAGAGACCCACCCCTTTGCAACAAATCACTCAATGGGTTCCCATCACTTGAAATTACAAGGGCCCTGAGGAAGACCCCCCCGAGGCCAGGGTCTCACTGCGCCAGGAGGAGAGGGTGTATGGGGTGGGGGGGCCAGCGCCTGGGGGGCTCTCCCTGGGCTGGAGCTGGTGCCTCGCGGGCTGTGCCCCCCCAGCACCCACAACGGTAGCGGGTGCACGGCCGTGCCCACGGTGGCCCGATCATCTTCAGGCAGGACGCGCCCACCAGACTTGAGCCCCGCGGAGAGGCCCGCGCCCCGTCTGCCAAGGGCTGTGGCGCTGCCCGAGCGGGGGCCCCGGGCAGCGGCCGCCCCAGGGCTGACACCTGTCTGTCCACTCGCAGACGGCTGCTCCTTGCGGCTGTTTCCAGGGGAAACTGTCACTCACTGTATCATCGACCAAATGGCAAGTGGTTTCAGCTGTGAAGCAGGCCAGCCTGAGAGTCTGTCAAATTCCAAAGTGTGCTCTGAAAATAAACCACGGCTGCATAACACACGAGCCCTGGAATACGAGGAAATGAGAAAACACGTTTCCATGATCTGCAAAGGACCCCGAGAGACGATGGCTGCCACGTTTGTTTCTCTGTGTGCTTCTCCAGTTTCCTCGGGCACAGGGAGCCCCCTCTCCAGGCTCCTTGGGGGAAAGCACGCTTAGCTTTATACAGCGGATGTGTTCCTGAAAGGTGGTCCACGAAACTGGGTTTTTGACAAATCTGAAAGCAGCGGAGACGTACGGAGGCAAGTGGCCGCCCCCCAACACCGGGCAGTGAGTCCCGGGAAAGGGGACCGGGGATCACGCTCCGTCCCACCAGCAACGGGGCATCGGGCTTACTTGCAATGGGGCTCCCCTGCAGGGAAGGGGACACGGAGCCATGGCTGCTACGCGCTTTGCTTCCAGTCTTCTCTCCTGGCCCACAGAACCCTCGGGTCTGCTTAGAACCATGGGGCTGGATTCCCAGGGCTGGTCCCAGTGGGTCCCTCAAAGCACAATCACTCCGACTCCTTCCAGAGTCCAACCTCATCCCCGGGGTCGGAGGACTCACTCTGCAATGCTGTCCCAGAGCGGCCCCACTACCAATCAATCCCAGCCTGCTCCCCTCGGCGGATGCTGAACCCCCAGCCACGCGGCCACCTCTCATCTCTGTACTCCTCATGCATGATCCCTGCTCCCCTCCTCCCCTCTGGGGTGCTCTCTGGAATGCCCATTCTGCAACAGACAGACTCCTACACCCTCGGCTTCTTTCAGAAGTTCCCTGAACCCCAAGTTAGCAGACCAGCCCGACTGACTGCTTCCCCAGCAGCATGTCTTCCAGAGAGGAGGCGTACCCTCCCATAACCCAGATGCCACGTGGTCAGAAGTGGGCCTGCCTCTTCCTCTGGCCCCAGAGCCCTTCCACACGGCACTCCTGTCTATAACCCGCAGCTCCTTCCAGACTCATGAGTCTGCCTGGAGCACCTGCTACTTCTCGGTCTTCCCACCCGCAGGTCACTCCTCGTCCACATCAGACTCCAGCTCGTTACACGTCTTTCTCTTCACCTCCAGGCCTGCCTGTCATCGGACTTGGTCCCAGCACCCACGTGGAGGATCCCCCAACATCCCCACTCAGTGCTTGCCCTCCTCCCAATGGCAGCCACCTCTCCCACCATGACGTTCTGGAATATGAGGCACCCAAAATTTTATATTCGAACATGCTGGTAGTCCTCCCACTCTGGTCCCCCGCGTCACCAAGAGTCCAGCATCTGAGCCCTCAACACCTGTGGGCTTCCTTTCGTATGTAAGTGATGAGCTTCCTTCCGGGCGTGGATCTGTGGATCCGCTCTCAGAGCGAGCAGGGCCCACGGGGAACCATGGCCGGCTGTGGCCCAGAGGCCCAGCCATCTTCCCACACAAGCAGCAGCTGTGGGAGCAGATGTTTTTCTGGACTTGATGCACGGAGGAGAACCATTTGTGAGTGAATGGCAGAGCCCCAGCCTGAAGTATCCTATTCCAGAATGAAGAGGCAGCCAGGATCAGAGGCGCAGCCCCTGTGTGAGTGGGTTATGGGGGTTTGAGCAGGCTGCTCCATGTTCTCGCAAGTGGAAGTCAGGACCAGACATGCCTGTTCTGAAGGTTATGTGGAGAGCTGAAGACTTACATGCAGAAGCTCAATCAACCCCCTTCAAGAATGAGAATATAAGCAGTTGGCGACTCCAGGCAGCAACCCCGTGAGCTCCAAGATGACAACGGCGCCCTGGACTGGAGCGCCATAGGTCGGGGGGGACTCCCCTACAATCAGCCCAGCCCTGGCCTCCAGGCTTCTCTGAGTGAAGAGGGCATTCTGGAAGGTTCTAGAATACTGCATACAACACTGTCTCTGGCTTAAAGGTTGAAGAGCTACTTAATTTCCCCTTAAAGTGCTTTTATTCTAAAACTAAAGTAGTCTTTTGGAAAAATCAAATATGCGCACACATACACACACGCACAGTAAAAACCCCAGACAATCTTCCTGTCCAGAGAAAAACACTATTAACAGTTGGGCATATTTCCTGAAAATCTTTTTCTACGCATGCCTACTCTTTTTTTCATCAACTGAGGTGCCGCGGTATGTATTTTCCCACCTTATGTCACAACATAAACTCAGAAGAATGTAACCATGAACGTTATTTGAAAGGCTCTAAAGCATCATTTTGCATAGATGATTTACCATTGGACACGAAGTTATTCCCAGGCTTTCCACATGGCAAATAATGCTGTGATCAGTAAATGGGTGGAAAAAAAATATATATATATCCATACCATCTTAGGACAGACTCCCAAAAATGGAATTACTGCATCACATGTGGATAGGCTGTCAACACCAACACCTGGTCTACTCTAAGCCTTGCGTGAACCTATGGTGAGTTCTGGACTCCACTCCGTGTTTCCAATCCATGACACGGGGAGAATTATGACACATCCCAGGGATTTCAAAGACAATTTTTCTAAGTCGAAAGCATAAAATGCCCTAGAACAGGAGTTGGCAAACTGTGACATCTGACCCCGACCTGGCTCACTCTCCCTGTTACTTAAATACTTATTGGAACCCGGCCACAGACATTTACTGATTTATTTACTGTCTCCGGCTACTTTCCTATTATGATGGTCAGGCTGAGTAGTTATGAAAGAAACTATAGGACTCAGAAAGCCAAACATCTCGACTACCCGGCCCTTGACAAAAAACATTTGCTGACTGCTAGTTTGGAAGAATGCTCACAGATTCCAACGACAGAGCACCTTTCTCTGTGGGCAAAGGGCCCTTCCGTCAGTTTTCAGTAAGCTGATTTTTAAGCATTATTTAGATCAGCAGTTACTTTTTTAAAAAAAGAAGAATCAGAAGTTTGTCTTGGACAAGATCACAAAAGAAGGCTTTGTGCTTCATAAAACAGCTCCCCAGGCTACAGGAGAAGTACAAATATAAATTA